AAATAACAAGACAATGCAAAACAAAATGTTAAACTTCAGGTCCTTCACCACCGGGAACTAGCATTGTGATGTGATTTCCATTCAATAAAATGGTATCCAATTTTGTTACCCGTTTACCATCTGGGGTCTGCTCGTACTCAACCTGAAGCACATTTGATAATGACTCCATCCAGGAGATGAACGCAGTCGAAAAACACAAAACTTACTACATCTTCCAACACCATGTTCACATAATCGTCGAAGCCCATCAACGTTCCCACTATCTCTTTTTCACCTGTAAAAAGAAACGATGATTTCCAAATACAGTGATTTCAGCAGTTGGCAATATTTGAACTTTCGAATAAGAACAGAACTACTGTTTCCATCATGCTATACTTTCTGCAAAATTGCCTTATGAAACGGGCTGGAATTGAGAACTGGTATTTATGACAACTAATTCAATCCCTTTGTACCGCAGGAACACTATACTAAAGCGCCAGAACTAGATAGAAGCTCAATCATTGTACCCCCAAATCGATCTACCCATACTATCTAGTTCGCCTATTCCTCCTCAACATTTAACACAGAACAATTTTACAGCATGCCTCCCCTGGCGCGAACCCAGGCACAAAGAGCTTCTGAGGTTATCGAATTTCTGAGGTTAGGCGATGTCAACGGATCACACAGAGATCTCACAGTCTGGTAAGGGTAAGGGCAGTTGCTCTATAAGAACTTTTACACGCCGTAAACAAGATCAGAATCGGCATGTATGGCTTTTCGATATGGTTATAAAGTCCTTCATACTAGTATGAGCTCGGAACCATATCAACCTGTGCCTATCCTCCAAGTAGACCGCTCCCTTCCGGCAAATGGATGCTGGTCCACGGTAACAATACTTTTTTAGATATCTCAAAGTATAGCAGCGTTACTTTGATGCCGTAAAAATATTAGGGCATAAAAATCAACGGCATCTCTAAGTTTCAAAATTTTCCCTCGACCCTCCTTACTGAATTATGGAGATGGAAAAAGCATTAAAATTTGATATAAAAAAGAGCTTGAAGATGTGGTTCATGGATGATAGTACTTACCTTTCATAATAACCCAGATTCGTGAGCCTATGCATTTATCGACAAGTTCAAGCGGTAACAATGTTGATGGATTTGTTGTGGTGGAGGCCATTTCTGAAAAGTTATGTAAAGTGCCTAAACAATAAATTTACGGAAGGCCAAATAAACAGCGGATACTTGACCAAATTTGAGTTCAAACGCTCTCGAGTTCTACACTTTGCGTCAACCTCCTGCTCCCTTTCCGTAGCAACCACTCATCCGCAGCGCATGGGTATTTCGCAGCGATCTCCGATCGATGCGGCATATTTGAACGCTCAAGCGGCACGCCCACGAAGCAGCAGGGGTCTTAGAGTTGCGCTTAAAGGCAATGGACAGGCAGAATGGACTCCTCGGGTTTTGGTGGTTAGGTAGTAGACCCCCAAGTACACCGTAGCCCAAACC